GAGTACGTATGGTGGGACGGGGATTCGAACCCGCGACCCTCAGATTGCGAATCGAGTGCCTTATGCACCTGGCCATGCCGGGTATTTTTTGTTTTATCATGAAAATTCAGGGTATCTAATAGTTGATCATTAAAGCTGTTCTCTTTGGTAAATGTGGTAATGGAAAACTCAACCAATCACAGAGGGAAAATATTTTCAAAAAATATACAGAGTACCATTTTATAAAGTCTGAGAAATGTTACTTGTATATGTTGAGGAAAAGACTTAAGTTCTTTAGTTAATCCTTGTACTTGTTGCTGAGTAGAGATATCACAGCTTCCTAAGCTATTAGTTATATGCAAGATTTTAACTGACACTAGTGTAGTATATTCCAGTGCACAAATTTCCCATGGAGCTAACAGGAGGCTTAACAAATATCAGTCCATTACTTTCCAGACTCTGACAGAGTTCCTCACAAAAAAAGATCAACACATAAAAATGTAAAAACTACAATCTTCAACAAAAAAAACAACAACCAAAACACAAAAAAACAACACAATGAGACAAAACAAAGTGCAAGTGTTTATGACAGGTGTGTTGGACTGGCAAGAGAGAAAGAAATGTAAAAACAGAAGCTTTATTAGTTTTTATTTACCAATTAAAGAGAAAGAAAGTGAAACCAGAAAATGAAAACAACCCCTAGAAATCAAACTGAAGTACAGTGAAACAAAATATCATTAAAGGTAAACAATGTTAAATGAAACATCTCTAAATGAAAATCTAAACTACACTAAGAAAATTTCACAAAAACTACACTTACCATATCTATAAGTTAAAAATCTGAATTAATTCTCTCTCTTAATAAAAAATATGTCTAACAGGGGAGAACTTGTTTTTTAATAGTAAAGACAGAATAATAAGAACAAAGCCAGGTTTCCCACACCATTCTAACTGTACACATTACCTTTGTCTATTGTGATTTAAGTGCAAGGGTAGAACAAGGCCATGTGCATCCACAGGGTGAGGGGTCATTCCACTACCAATGAGCTAAGGTTCGATAAAACAGTTGGTATTATTTTAGTGTGAGAGTTCTTAAAAAGAGAGTGGATCTGATTTGAAAACTTTACTATTACATGGTACTTTTTTCATGCCTTAAACCTTTCAAGTAACCTATACACTAACAAATTGGTTAGTGTTAGCTTGATCATTAAAAACTGGCTAAAATCCCAAAATAGTTTCTTTTAGGGTTCTGATGTGCAAGAGGCCAAGTGAACTATAAAAATATTCAGAAAAGTTTGCTTCAGTTTCAAAAGTTACTTCTACTGTTGTTGTATATCTTAACTTTGTAATATCATGAAACATTCATGCATGCCTCTTTGCTATTATCCACAGTCATAACAAACAAAAAGCACCCATCATCTCCTAATTACATTACAAATACAAAAAAATATATATACATACTTACATTTAAAGAATAAGTTTCACAGCAAGGAAAGAATATACATTTAAAGTGAAACTAAAACTTCAAAATGGCTATTAAGCATTTGTTAACAGACTCAGCCAAATTGACTGACCCCAATACCTGTGAAGCTATATATACTATTTTTACTATAACTGTATTTACTAAGTGTGTTTTCACAAAATTTGGAAGGCTTTTAATAAACACTACAAAACTGTTTATACAAAAAAATCTAAATTTTTAATAATTTAGTTATACCATAGATTTGTTTGTAAATTCCCAAAGCCTTTACCGAGTCAATCTGAGTGAAAGGTGACTTTTCATGCTATGAATAAAAATACTTTTCATTTTAAAGTTTTATATTTTATTTACATAATTTCTAGAACTACCTAAATGAATAACAAAAGTTTTTTCAATAAGATATCGTGTCTTATCTCTTCTTTTCTATACCTAACACTAATTGAAGCTTGAGAAATTTTAAACGTTATATTTTGCTTAAGTTTTTCTTACAGAGATAATATAAACATCACTTAATACATTTCAAATAATGCATACCAGAGCTCTTGCAATTTTAGATGTTTTATTTTGCTGAAATTGTGTTAGGCTAAGCTGAGATGTTTATAATTTTCACATTTTAGAACAATACATAAAAACATGAAAAACAAGAGAAAGTTTTGTAGTACTAACTGTATAATAAGAGTTGTATGTACTCAAGTAAAAATCTGAGTCATTTTTCCCTAGGTCTCATTGAGTCTTACAAGTTTGGGTGTCCAAAACAAATTCATACATCAAATAAGCATTTTAGAACACAAAAAATGTATCAGACACTAAAATAGAATGTTCCCAAACTATTATAACTTATTCAGCTTTCTAAGGAAGCTATAAATAGGTTAATAAAATTCTGTTACTGCTCCGAGCACTAAATCTGATTAACACAAAACAAGCAATAACAGCAAAACTGAATACAATATTGCAAGATGTACATAGAAGAGAATCTGCTCTTTCTATTAGTTATAAACATGCCATCAACCATGTGAGGTTAATTAGAAAACAATTTCAAAACTCAGAGGAAAAGAGACGGGGCTTCACTGGTAGGTTTGACAAATTTATTGATATTGTAGCAAATCAAAAAGGCAGAAGTTCAAATTTTAGATTTTTGCTTGTAATTATGTATAGTTTTTGTTTCTAATTGTTTGGAAAGTGCAGCAGCATATCTTTGATGTCAGAAAATTCTGAAAGGGAAAAATCAGAGCTCAGACATGCCATGTGACAGAGAAATGAAGATGGAATATATTTTAAAAATTTGTTTTTGAAATTCAGAATTTAAAACTTAGATAATACACAAATCTGAATTATAAACTACATTTTCATACCAAGTTTATTGTCAAACATTGATAAAGAATTTGTTTACTTCAATTTTGAATGTAACATCATAAACGTTTGTGTCATGCATAAAAGAGCCAGGCCCAAATGTGAAGGGTTTACATATTTTATCTTTGCTGTCAACAGGATATAAATGCAAATAAACAAATACAATATATATCAGAACACTTTCATCTATATTTTTAATATACATATACTGTATTCATATAAACAAGTTTGGCAGTATTCAACTTTTATTATTACTCTTTTTTTTTTATTGATCACACTAGAAAAAAAAATTGCAACAAACTATTGCTGGTTGTACTCTTTAAAGAAAATACGTTAGTAGTTAAGTCAAAGATATTTATTATATTGTTTAAAATGTCAGTTAGTACATTTTTTTCAAATTTCCAACAGCATTGGAGCAATCAGAGAATTGGCTATGTCTCTTCCCATAAGCTTTTCCACAATCATTAGTGCAAACTCAAAAGCTGTTCCTGGACCTCTACTCGTGATCAATTTACCATCTGCAACAATTCGAGCTTCTGAGTACTTGTATTTACCTGTTGATTAAATACAGAAAAAAAATGTAACAGCTACATACCACACACACACATTTTCTCAAAACACAAGGAGAAAGTTCACACGGCTGTCACTTAATACAAAGCAATGAGAAACTACCAAAGAATGTTTAAAATATTAAGATTTTTTTTCAAATGAATAAATTTTCAAGTAACTAAAAATTTATTTTTTCACAATAAAGAAAAAACAATTACTGAACAATTATAAAAGAATTAGACAAAGGAACATTAAGATATCCCTATGAACATTAAGTAACCTAGGATATAGTTGACAATCAATTAGTGTCATTATTTATAATTTCCTTCCTTACAGTTCAAAAATGAATACATATTTTATGCACCAATCAAATCTAAATCAATATCTTTTGCTTGTCCTTTTAGAAAAAAATATAGATCAATTTTATCTTAAACTTTTTATATAATCAACTAATATGTCATAAATAAACAATAAATGCTCAAAAGTTTATTTACTATTTGCAATAATACTTACCTTTCTGTTCCAATTTTCGATTTAAAAAAAGTCAATGAATAAAGACTAGGGTAATGGTTGATATTTGGTAAATTGCTAATGAAATCAGAAAAATTCACACATTTTATGAATTTAAATTTTCAATCTGCAAATTCCCATGTGAAAATGTTGACCAATGTTTTAATGAACTTATTTGTAATTGGAACATTTGTTTAAATTAAGCTGAATGAATGTATCAATACCAGTAGCTCAAACTAGAAAGTGATATAGTGTGAATGACAGTAGTACCACATTCTATATATATATATAGAACATGAAGAAAAAGTTGCATATTTTTTGGTTGGTACTTAATCATTTAAATAGAGTAAGCAAATTCAAATATGTAAAATAATCCCAAGCATTCAGTCAGTTTCAGTCCCAACTGCTATGAAACATACAATGCAAAGAAACAAGCAGTATAGAAACCACTTAAGCAAATGATGTTCTTTTATCATTATTTTTAGTCTTTTTATACTATTGAAACTTCAGAGGTATATAATGCAAAAGCTTAAAATCATTACTGCTTGTGTCACTGTTTATATTTTCTAATGAATCTTTATAGTTTTAGTGTTATTGTAGTACATGTTGTTACAAAATGTCTTACCAGTAATTGCTAGCAGATTAACCCTGGCATATTGGGAAGTTACAGGTTTTTAATTCTGCTCATGGGAGATACAAAAATGAGAATATATATATACCACAGTATCAGTATGTGTGGTATTTATTGTTTAGAGAAATAAAGGCAAACAAGTAACAAACCATGCATACCAAAATTTTTGAAGATTTTACCTGAATGGAATGTTAATGTGAGAACAAGTGCAGAAAAGAAAAAACAAACAAGTTTGACAAACATAACAAAGTCCTTTTTATTTCATACCCCATGTACAATGTATGTATGTCTTCAAGGTTAATAAGGCAAAATTAAAGTAAAATAAAAATGAGTGAACTTGAAATGAAATTGTAGTAAAAATAAATTTGTACAGTCAGCAGTAGAAATAATGCAATACAAAGACTGGACTTTGACACTGGTTCCTGGGTCTCAGAACAGAGATGGACTGTCTTCCTTGAAAGTTAGAACAAATCTCATTTGAAACTGCCAAAACTTCATTCATACTACACATTCTCTCTGCAGTTGACCAGGACACTGAAATGCAGAAACACCTTTGTTCCAAGTGAGTTGCAGGCAATCCTCCCAAATACAAGTTCAAGGAGGAAACAATTTGCAACTATCCTAAGAAACAGCATACAAGTTTCTTGATAGGTCAAGTTACAAAAAAAGTAATGCCTCAGGATGAATTTTCCACATGATCTCAGTTGGACTTAGCATATTGAAAAATTATAACTCAGAAAAAATTAAGAATTTTGTAGATAAGACATACATACTATAGGACAGTAAGATGTGTAGAGTTTGCATACTACAGTACATATGTAAGTTAACAAAATGAATAGCCTTTATGAATTTAACCGAAATAAAACACTGTGCACTTTTACAGATATACCCAATATTTTTGTATAATCTTAAATACTAAAAGAATTAACCCAATTTATGAAAAACTTTCTAAGGCTTATAATATGCAACAGGGTTTTGTTTGTTAGTTAAATCCTGGATTAGCATAAAATAGTTATTTTTATGACAAATGTAAAAAACTAATTATAATTACAGTAAATATTGTATCTCTGAAGGTCTCTTAACTATGAAGCAATACAGAATTTTCTATTTAATGTACTGTTTAAGAAGTATTTTTAGAGATACACAAAAATGCTGAACCTTTTCTGCTGGCCAATTCCAGTAGTTCAACAGCAACTTAAAAGCTGTTTTGTCACAAAGTAAAATCATTATTTCAATTTTAGCAACGTGTTTGAAGAAGATTTATAAATCCTAACTAGCAGAGAAAGAGATGTGGTAGTTACAATTTTGTTTGAAATTATATTTATACAAAACAATAGTATAACAATCAATACAAAAAACATTATTGGCTCACTTTGTTATTAGTAATGCTTGTTTTGTGGCAATGGAATTTTCAACATTTTAGAGTACAGGTAAAGCACTTAAAGAAATTATCTTTATCAACTGAAACATTTAAAAAGTACAGGTAGAAAACATATTACTTTTATTGAACTTTAAAAAATTAGCTTTATACAAAGTGTTGTTGCTTTTTTTGGTACTTATGTCAGTTAAAAAGAACAAACAAATTCAAATATGTAAAAATATTCTCAAGCATTCAAAATGTTCTTCTGTAAGCCTCAATGAGTCTCACAAATATGGCTATCCAAAAATGAATTTCTGGAGCTCTCAAACGAGCAGAGAAATAAAAACATGAAATACAACGAATATCAAAAAAAAATCATGAAGCTTTCAAATATGGATATTAGAACACAAAAATATATCAGTTACTAAAATATGATGCCCCAAAACTACTATAATGTGCTTGACTTTTTAAGTAGTCAATAAATTTTATTGGTTATAAAATTCCTTTAATGTTTGGAGCAGCAAATTATAATCAAGCAATTCTATATCCAATTAATAAACTATAAATTAATGAGAATATGTTTTAATTAAGAAAGAAATATGCGAATATTGTCACAAATATATTGATACTATGTTATTTTAACTCACCACCATCTTCCAACTTGGACCTTATACTTGGATGAGATGTGATATACCTTTCTGTTCCAATACCATGACTTTTCAAAGCTATTGGTGCTAAAGAAAAACTGCTTCGGTTAGTAAAAACCATTTAATATTAAAATTTTTCATACTATAGTTGTTTGGTCAAATTTTCCAATATCTGTGAAGTTATACCTAGGTTAACATTTTCTTAAATCAAAAATGTATTTCCAATAATACTTACCTCCAATCACACTTATAGCTATTACTGCCAGGATGTCTTCCTTTGCCCATCTAAGCATTGATCTGATTATTTCTCACTTGCTTTGGTCTTTTATGTTCCACTCAATTGTCCTTGGCAATATTTATCTCGTGACACTCTCCACCTACATCAATATGTCCTCTATCCTGGTACTGTGTATCTATTACTCAACTGCAAGGGTTTTTTTCTTTTGCCCATTTAAGCACTGGTCTGATTTTTTCCTACTTGCTCCAGTTTTTTTATGCTCCACTCAACTGCCTTTGGCAATATTTAATTCGTAACACTCTCCACCTACATCATTGTGCCCTCTATCCTAGTACTGTATATAAGTAATCATTGAGATAACGTTATCATTTTTTTGAGACCGACTCAATACCAGTCTCTAACACTGGCTCTTAGTAGGGAGGAAGGACAGGAAAGTTTGAAAGGAGGTAAGTATTACTGAAAATACATTAAGAAAATGTTAACTTCCAAAATATACTTACCTCCTCTCACACTTATAACCAAGATCCCACATTGATAAGGTGGAGGGGCTGGTGAGGGCATTATCCATACAGAAAGCATCTGCATAGATCATAGGTGTGTCAATAGAAGATTGACACCCTAGTGGGGGAACCGTACTACATCGCAAACAGGTATGCTCTTCACCCTGAATGTAATTTCTGAATTGTGGATGGAATTATACATGATTTATCATCACTATAGGCCAGGCCCCAACCAGATAGTTGAGGTTCCACTATTCTGGGTTGAAATTAAAGGGCCATCATCTCTATATCCCATGTTGGTGACCAGGGCAATTGGATTGAAGAAGCCTGAAAGGTAAGACTGCGGGCTCCGAATAATGGGATTATGTATGCCTTCCTCAACCTGAGGAAACAGAACTCATCCAGTCTGGAATTATGAACACTCATCTTCACTCCCTAATCGTGTAGGCAAGGTAAATTCCAGTTGCACCCAGAATTATGGGGAGGATGTGGAACAACTGTGCTCAACAAGGGCATTGTTCGTGGAAGAGGGTCCACTGTCTCCTCACAATTCTGAACACAAAAGGGTTCCATCCCCTCCAGGGTTACTGAACCAATATTGATCAAAAAGAAGAGCAACACTCAACCAAACTTGATAGCCAAACGTCAAATCTGAACCAGTATTATGAGTAGGCTCTCATGTAGGCTGGTGCCACTCCTATGGATACCTGGGAAAAAAACATCCAGGAACCCAGACAGGAGGGCCTCCAACTTTGCCCTCTTCTCCAAGAGTGGAAGAATTCATTCTAAAACTCTGAAGGAAAAGCTTCTGTCCACCACCCCAGTGAATGGAAACTGGTGTGGTAAAGACTCCCTAGCTCCACTAGTAAAATTTGATAGGGGGGATAATGTGCATTGGGGATTCCTTAGGAACAGTGCTTTGGAAATAGTGCAATAGGTGAACCAAGTTTTCCTAAATTTTTTAAAAGCAAATTACCCTGATTTATTCAATCCAATGATCAGCAGGGATGGGCAGGATCCCCTTGTGCTTTACTCATGATAGTCCACGAGAGGCAATCCAGCATAGTACAGTAATACATTGTGGTCAGCCTCTAGGTGGTGTTATAGAACACCTCATTTCTACAGAGCCTGTTGTAACCTGTATAACATATATTGAATTACTGGTTGCTAGTGTGGTATTGGTTTGATAAAAGCACACCTGCCTGGGCAACTCGACACAAAGTGGGATCCTGTGAAAACAAGGTGAGGGGCCCTGAAAGGTACCAATGAAAATACTCACCCCTCTGTATAATCTAGCAGAAGTGGTTAAGACAGCTACTGGGGTAGGCAAAAATCTTCAGATGAAGATACTGCCAGATCCTGTAAGTAATGTGAGATAAAAGTATTGGGAGGTCCACATACCAGTCTGCACAATGTTCTCCAGCAGGTAATTCAACCGGGCCACTAAGGATATAGAAATGTGACAAATCTGATGAGACATGACTCGCAGAAGATTCCTTGCCTTCAAAGAGAGCCTAGAATAAAAAGTCATTGTCTGGTATCTCTAAAGGCATTATTGTAGGCAACAAAACCTTCAAGACCCTCACTGAACATGACAACAAACGAAATCTGATTGGACATAGAAGTGAGAAATAGTGATCAGAAGAACTAGTGAAAAGGATTTATCCCCTACCATGTCTTACAGTATTTTGGATGAGAAGAACCAGTCTGAGGATGTAGATAGAAATAGAAAGTGGTCTGTGGACAAACAGCATAAACCACTGTCACTGGCAATGTCTGTAGGTCAGCAGCAACAAAAAATAAACCTTCATGTAAAGGGGATACATGGAATATGAGAATCAGGTCACAAACAAGTGTTGAGAAAGGGCATGTACTTTAACCTTAATATACCTGGTAGGTAACTGCAATGGTCATTTGGGACCATGGATTCAAAGCAACTTGAGAAATCAAGAGAGTACTGAGGACTCAAAGAATATTTAGTCTCGAGTATCGAATGAAAGTCAATAAGACTGACTTATACAGCACGATTGTGGAAAATGCAAAAACCCTTGCTAAAGAGCCAGGTCAAAAAATGAGTTATGGTTGGCACTTCTGATCAAAGTGGGTTCAGCCTCCTCTCAATACACCATTGCAGATTTTGCATGTCAATTCCCATTGGTAAATATATACATCTCAAGACTAAGCAATGACTGAAACATATACACAGCAACCTTAGAAAATAAACCCTGATGCCGTGCAAAAAACAGCATAACCTCTATGCCTGAAGCTCCTGCATAGCCATGTGTACCATGTCAAATCATGGTTTCCTCCACATAGATGGCCTAAGAAGAAGTAGATACTCTGGAAGTTACCACCAAAGCATAAATCAGAGTGTAACTGCTAATCTGGTGCTGTCTGACAATGGGTTAGAACAAATCATATTTAGTACCCTGGGTAACATATGAATTGGAGGGAAAGCCTAGAGTTGTATTCCTGTTCTGTCTCGACAGAATGCATCCATTGCCAAAACCCAAAGGTGAGGTACTGTAGATCAAATGGCCAGTAGTTGGGTGTTCCAATGAGAGGCCAACCCACCAATCAGAGTTGCAAAATGAGAGCCAATCCAACAGAACCTTGTGATGCAGCCTCTATTCTGTTGAAAGAGTATGTTTGGGTTAAGACAATTGACCTGCTACTGCAGGCATCACCCGTGGAATATGGCAAGCTAACAGTGTGACCAGCAGTAACCAGTCATCTATGGATTGGTGTGTGCACAGTGCAATAGAATGGAGTTGATAAGAAAAAACTTATATGATATGGCAGAACCCATGTGAAGCCAATGCATGTCTGAAGGTAAAAACCCAGAACTGCAGTAACTGATCCTTGCGGACAAAAAATTCTAATAGTGGTGAGAAGCCACCACTATGGCAATGTGCAGATAGGAACTTGGACATCCACAATCCCAGTAAAATGTGTCAACTCAGATTGAGGAATTAGTAACTTGTGAAGAATCTAAGCATTGATATAGATGAACGATCGATGACTGGACACCATTCTCCTGTCTTCTTAGGCCCAACGACCGATGGGAATAAAACCTCGGAAAAATGAATCTTTCACTACCCCCAGACCAACTAAGTTCCAAATCCCAAGGATCTGTGGGAGATGGAAACACTAGAGGTTTGATGGATAATAGTGGTGAAGATGTGAACTGAATGAATAATTCTTACTCAAGGACCTGTAGTGCTCCCGGATCCATGGTCACAGATCCTGAAGGCATAAAATAATCCTCAATGCCACTGGCAGAGATCTGACTGAGCAGTGGAACCTTTGTATAGAGACAGAATCCATTCTGGGTACAAATGTACTGATGGGCTGATGTCGGGAGTAGGGACCTACAAATAGGGGCAGAACTATGACCCCCTGTAGGAGTCGATGAAATTCGAGCCACCAATGATAACAGGGGTGAATATAGAAGCTGACAACTGAACCAATGTGCATGTTAGCAATGGTTCCAGCTCGTCATCAATGAAGTTGATGATCCTGAGTCTTCCATCAGAGTGAAGTGAAAGAAAAACAAAATGTTGGATTTTAGAATTGTAAGTCTGTAGACTTACCGTGTCCCATCAGGTTAACTACAAACTCTGCTTTAGAACCACAAAATTCGAGGAGCAGATGTATTATTTGAGAGTTGGAAAATGCTTCTACCTAGCAATAGTAGGCTAAATCATGAAGTTCCGACATTCGTATCGGATAAGGCATAGCTGTTCCTTCATGTAACTGAGAAGTAAACTGCCCAACATGAACTACAATGTGCGTGGATGGAGAGAAAACCAAAAATTCACTTCCATACCTTTCAGCCATCAAGTAAGGTGGAGACTTAAATGCAACCAGGGAAAGACCCAAAATATCACATTCTCGATGAACCAACTGAATAAAATAAATCAAAAGCAACTTATCTCAAAGTTGCCTCCTTTTTTGTTTTTATATGACATTTAAACACTGCGTTGATTACTGCTTATTGGAACATTTGGTCAGGTTTGTTTTAAAGCAAAGAAGCGATGGGCTATCTGTTGTGTTCACTATAGGGAATTGAACCCCAGGATTCCAGAGTTGAAAGTCCATAAACTCACCACTATCCCCACAGGGGGACTGAAAAGCCAACCAACTAAAAAAAAGGTGCAGGAAAAAGCGAATTATCTGTACTGTGCAAAAGTGTTAGGACATGGGAAGATTTTGTCATTCTTTCCATTTTATGGGGCTAATTCTTCTATGCCATTACAAAATGTAAATTTCAACACTATGGTAATGCTTCACTGATCTCTATTGACAATTGAATGAGCCAGGATGAGAATACTTATCATTCTAGAGATTCTCATATACTTGTACCAAGGGCAGGTCATAAGGGTTCTGCTTGAATGAACATATTGATCAAATTTAGAGTCTGAAATGACTGTCATGGTACCCCATGCAGTATCTTAACTATATAGAAAGGAGCTAGCATATTGTATCAGTATATGCTAGAAGAAATCAATTTAATAGCACACCACAAATAAATCTTGATAAAAACAGTGTTAAACACTAAATCTTAAGTTTTGTTTTCATGCCACAGTCCAAAAAGCATAGAGAATTGTCAGTAGAGCAGAGAATTCACATAAAAGCTTTCTGTGATGCTGGTTGTACTCTCTGACAAATTGCTGCAGACTTGAAATGCTCCCCAAATTTGAAAATAGGAAAGGGAGAGGCAGAACACCAAAACTCAATGATACTGATGTTAAGTTTCTTCGTTTATGCAGTCTTTGGGACAGAAGGAAGACTGCCACTGACCTCAAACATGAGATAAATGACCATGTACTAAATGATAGAAAAGTGTCCAGATCTACAGTATCAAGAAGACTCAATGAGAATGGAATATTTGGTCATGTAGCAGTTAAAAACCTTTCACTTCAATCTCCAAATATTGTCAAGAGACTGAAATTTGCTAAAAAGTACAAAAACTAACTGTTGATGATTGGAAAAGGGTGTTGTGGATGGATGAGTCCAAGTTTGAAATATCTGGTTCAAAGTGTAGGTTGTACATTTGGCGGAAGAAAGGTGAAATATACTTACCTCAATGCATAGCACCTACCATGAAGCATGGGGAGAAGCAGTGTGATGGTTTGGGGGTATTTTTCTGCTGAGGTGACAAGAGATATTTGCAAGATAGATGGAATAATGGATCAGTGCAAGTACCATAAGATACTGCACCATCATGGTATACCCAGTGGTTTGTGTATTATTGGTAAAGGATTCTACTACCAAGAAGATAATGACTCCAAACACTCATCCAAACTATCAAGAAATTACTTAGCTAAGAAAGATGCTGCTGGAGTCATTCAAATGATAAAATGGCCTCCACAAAGCCCTGATCTCAACCCATATTTGGGATTTGATAGATCAAAAACATGAAAAGTCAAAAGTTACTTCCAAAGAAACTTTATGGGAGTGTATTAGAGACATTTGGAGTAAAATCCCAAAGGATACTTTGATTAAATGTGTTGTCAATAGTGCCTGAAAGACTGTCTGCAGTTATTAAAGCAAAAGGGGGACACACACACAAAATATTAACTGTTTGCTGAACT